AATTTCATCTAACCGAATTAGAATTAGCGTTGTTTCAGACTGTGGATCAGGGTTTTATATTTTTATTATTATTTAATGTGTATGCAGCTATAAAACTGTTGGATGGGTTATGTATCACGTATGTGACGAGTAGATGCAAAGAAAACTGGATGTATATGTCGATAACCTAAAGTTTGTAACACTTTCTTGAATCGTTCCTCTTCTTCTTGGACCCTAAATTCTTCACTGCAACCAATTAACGTGTCATCTGTTTGAAGTCCTACAATTGCGAGATGATTAAATAACAGGCATGGGTCACTGGATGACTCAGAGAGTTGGAGGTTTTTTGTGTGATGACTATGATAAGTCTTAAACCAATGGTTTCCAGTCTCTGGAATACCATAAAGTGGACGCACAACCTTCAAGACTATGTCCGTTGGCAGCTTTAGCTCTGGTGGCGGCTGCACGAAAAAATCTCTGATTAAGTTGGTCTTAGACTGCGTATATGCCTAGCTAATATCCCTGCTGAATATTGAATAGTTTCGAAGCAATGCTATCGATAAGAGAAGTCGTTGGCTGGCACGTTGAATGGTCGGGGATTGGGTGGGAACTATATATTTATTCTGATCTTTATACGCCTGCACGACTAGCCTTGACTTTTCAAATGCGTGTGGTGTTCCAGCAAAATTAATTGTATCAATAAATTTGCTTTTGAATAGTCGAGCAGATTTTGGGAGCGCTCTGGTATTTAAAAACTCGAATACTCCTCTCTCTAGAAGTCCATCAAGTTCTCTCTTGCGTGAAGTTATGAAATTATCGGTAGCTGAATCTTGAGTCTTGTTACGGCGAGGGGTGGATAAGTTAGAGATCGCCGTCTGCTGTACGTATTCAAATAATGGTTAGGCGAATACCTACAAGGGAATATACTGGATAATGAGTCTGAAGGTTGAGACTAGAGGACGGGAGTTCGAGACGAGTAATATGACGTTTCTAGAGATGTAAGACTATGAAAGTATAAGATTGAGAAGCTGGAGAACTACTTCGGGGTAGCTCCAGCTTCTTTAAGTACACTACAATAATCACTTAAATCTACCCGAGACCGGAACAAGGTTCTATCATGACTCTAGCCGCCCTAACTCGATTTTGTTAGAGTTCCCTAGAGAACCTTCTCCTTGAACTATTCAGGGAACCTTCTCCTTGAAACTTCTACTTGGCCCTTTTTCAGGGATGCCTAGCCATAACAAGTCTGGTAAAATATAGAGAGTTGCGCCTTTTTATCAGATAAGTATACATTTTCTCCATAAAAGTCAGGGAGACGACGTATGCCCTGTGGTCGCGTTGATTTAAATTGATCATCAATTCTTACATGATTTTCATGTTGTTGTTCAAGATTGTTGTCTTCATCAAGTTGGATAGGACTGCCGTCACTTGGGTTATTTTCACTATGTGTTTTTATACATGTTGATCGAAAAACTGATGGTCCCAAAGGAAGTTGTACTGTAGCAGATTCATTTTGCACTGCTACTAGCTTATATGGTCCTTCCCATTTGTTTTTATGCGGACGCCATACTAGCACGTTTGATCCTAGAGGAATTGCGGAAATATCTACAGATGGTCCATTTCTAGTGTTGATTGCATCTTGGATTTGTCGTTTTGCACGAATTTTCGTGACCTCTGTCATAGCCTTTTTGATAGTCTTTGCTCTTGTCATGATATCTACTGTTGGTGCATCACCGGCTATTATGCGGGGAAATGCTCCAAACACTAAGAGTGTAGGTACAATTCCATTAGGTCCAGCTGTATCATTGATGGCTTTAATCGCCATTTGTAAGATGAGTGATTTATTAGTACAACTTGCTTCATCTTTTATGATATCATGGGCTCGACGGAGAGGCTTATGGTACCGTTCAACAATTGCCATTGTTTGAGCTGCTTCAATAGGTACTTAATTGGTGTGGATGCCGAGCGATTTATTATATTGTTGAAACTCAATAGCTGCAAAGTTTGTTCCTGAATCATGATTAATAATGTCTGGGGGACCAAGGTAGGTATCGATTCAACAAGTTCTCAATACTTCCCAAACAGCCCCTGTTGTCATGGTTTCAGTACAAAATGCTTGGGCGTCCTTGTAAGTACAGTATATTAATTATAATTCTCTGGAGAGAGAATTCCTCAATGTAAAGTCTACATATATATACATTCTAAATTACTGCCCTTCAAGATGATTCTCTCTGTGACCTGAATAATTGAGACGCTTCTACAACTACCTGGAAGTTTCTCGGTACACCTGTTATCCTCATGAACCTTCAGTGTGTTTCCAGAAGGTTCAGTGAGAATATTCGAAGTTCTGTGGCTTCCAAGACCTTCCCCTTGTGCCATAGCTTACGCTAGCCAGCGTAGGCTACAGGAGTCTTTCGGCTTAACAGCCGTCACACCTACACTTACATTTGGGAGAAACCGAGCTGCTTGGAAACGTGTCGCTTCATCGACAACATGAAGTAACGGAGCACTATTTATGTACATAATATCGGCGTAAATTTAATGGTTAAAATCTATTTCATGGTCTCGTAACGTAAAATTGAAGCGTCGAGGGGCGGCTCCATATCGTTGGCAATGTTCAGTAATTTAGTCAGCGATTTTAAGTTTTCAGGCTCACTGTGACAAGCCCTATTCAATAAGTTGATAAGCCTTTGCGCGCTTGGGTGCCCGAATCGACGATGAAGGGTTCTGAGCTCGGGATCTGTCAGATAGGACGATAATGTGACTGTTGGGCCCCATTGCAGAAAAGCATGCCCAAAAAGTCTCACCACTGGGATTGTCACACCGTTTGGGAGACAAATGACATTCTTAGATTATCAAATAACGCCTGTTTCTCATCAAGATCCTTTAAGCTGAGTAAGAACGGTGTGTTTGCTTCAACAATGTGAAAGATACAAGGTCCAATTCGAGTAAGAATTCGGATTGAACCGATAGAAGTTATGAGGCTAATGCCGAATTTTATTTCGATCCTTTCTAGAGTATTTATTGGATATGATTGGAATATAGCAGTATACGCTATATACTGGCCGTGTCCAACTGTAGAATGGCCCGCAGCACCCATATCAATTAGAATTCCGTGAAACTTTGCTGCACTATATCGGTCCTTGATATTATAGGTATTAGCATCATCTTCTAGTTCGAATTGAGAAGTTTCTTTTGTAAGAGTATGCTTTGTTGACTCTTCAGAGAGTTGGAGTGTGGCTTTAGATGCGCTAGCAATATTCATTTGGCCACAGGCTGTAAAAAAAGTTTGTGTTTCCCCCTGCTCTAATGAGAAGGAATGGAATGCATCAAGGAGTTCATTATCTATATCATCCGGGTCTTTGCCTTCAAGTTCAATCACAAATGCCTCTAGTCTGTCTTCAAGTTCTGCATCGGGTAGGTAGGTACGGTTTGTGTGATGACTATCCCGTTGTTGGATATTCATTTGGAAACGTTTTCGTGCTTGATGTCGATCATGCTCTGTATGGCGCGTGGACCGACTTCTTTCTTTGCGGCAGAAAAAACATTTTTTCTTTCTGTCATCTTCATTTCTTCGAAGGGCTCCTTCTGTGGAAACTCGAGGGACAAAAGACGATTGGCAAGTGGTCAAAAGCTGGCGTGGACTCAAATCATAAGATTCTAAACTAAAGAGAAAAGTATCTAGGAGGATATGAATCTGTATATATTTACATAAGAGTTCAACTGTTGAAATAGAGTTGCCTTTACGGAACCTCCTGTCCCTCATTGCTTACAACCCAAGGGTTTCGCATGAAAACCAATATCCATGACAAACCTTTCGTATCGTGATTTGTCACACACAAGACTCGTGTTTGTGAAACTAGTTGTTGGAATTCCTGGATTGAGCCTGTGTCGGCTTACCAACTATTGGACCGACGACCACGTGGCCACTAAAATGTCGGGGTGTCACACCTTTGTTAGCACGATTATTATTCCTATTTCGTTGTCCATGGAAGCGCCCATCTGTGTAAAATTGACTTTGTTCACCTTGAAATTCTTGAGAAAATTGCTGTTGATGAGATTCTTTGTCGTAAGAACAATCTGCCTTCCATGTTGCAATACTTGCTTGTAGTCTGTTTGAAAGATCTGTGACACTATTATTACTTGAATAAGTTGAACAGGCTATCCGGGTCGCTGAATGTCCCCTGCAGGAGGTCAACAGCTTCGCATGCAAGTAGGACTCGTTACGAAAGTTTGCATTGAGGCCAGATTGAGTTGTACGGAGTTTAGTGATTAAAGTGACCAGTGCCTTCTCAACATCGTGTTTAACCTCTTGTTCGTTGAGAATAGACTGCAAAGATGTTGGAAATCTAGACTTCGTATGTATGAAGGTTTAGATTTCTAGTTTGATCGTCAAGATCAATTTACTTGTTTCTATTGCATACGATTAAGCTCAGCTAGGGGAAAGGAGGTTCAGTAGTATCTGAAATGCAGTGGCTAGGAAATGATACCATGCGGTAATTGAGTGGCTGGTTGTAGCTAGATCACTTGGAGTTCGGGATCACTAAAGCCTCGGGAATCTGTATTTAAGGATTGGCTTATTTTTATATGTTAAACCAAGTAAACGAAATATTATATTTTATTAATTTATATTGAGAAGAGAATTCGATATCCTATACAACTATCAATAAATTCTTGTCCGAAATTGTACACTTGTTCTTCGAGATAATTCCTCCTAGAAATCCTTGACAATTTCTAACAAAAGATAGTTCATTCCAATTAGCTAACAGCATCTGCTGGTGCTCCTGCCCTTCAAAAGTCTCTTTTATAGATGCATAAATTGAATCTATTGGAGGGGCTACTCCATTTTTCTCTCTAATTGTTGATCTATAGTGGCCAAGGGCGTTATCTTTTAACATTATTCTGAGTGCTCTGCTTCTATCTTCCTGTGCAATACCGATCATGTCGCAATTTTCGCAAAATAATTCGAATTTGCTACCAAATAGGTCCGAAGGTGAGCCACCGTATTTATTCTCCTCAGTCTAAATTTTCATAAGACTGAAAAATGAATTATTGTTACTAATAAGAGTATCACCTTGAGATCGGGCGGAGTCTGAACGAAATGTTGAAGAAGATTTTGATACAGTTGAAATTGGACGGTGTTTCTCTTTTATTTCATGAAGGCAGGCTTCTGGAATTGCTTCCCATGTAGCATGCTGGGCTTTAGGTAGTTCGACTGCGATTGAGTGACCCTTTCTTGGTACAAAAACATTTCGAGATCGGAGGAAATCTCTTAATAATCGTGTTTGAATTGTTGTATTTTTATATTCGGTGTTACTGAAGAATTCGAAGTCCAAGATCCATAATGCATGTAGTTCTCTACCTGTAATGTTGTCCTCTGTGTATGCTTTAATCCTTTCGTCAATACAGGTTGCTATCTGCGCGGAAGTTGCTGCAGTTGCACCTTGTATAGTCCATGGCTTGAAATCGGGCTGTTCAACATAGGACATCTTGAATTAATAAAAAAATAACCTACGGCTGCGTCTTTATATATGACAATGGATTAAGTAGCCTACAGCTACAAATTCCCTCAGTAAAAAAATCTACGACTATCATATTGATTGGTTCTGATCTGCTTCGGAAACTGATCAGTGTCGATAACCTAAAGTTTGTAACACTTTCTTGAATCTTTTTGGATTCAGCACTACATACTATATAAGTACAAAGAGCTTTACATCATTAGAGTCTATTTCACATGACACACCCCCTCTTTTCCCCTGCAAAATTAGCTGATATCGACGCAATGAAAACCAGCTGATGAAAGATCAATTACTATAAACCAACAGTATATAAATTCATTGTTATTCTAATCTAGATGGCTAAGCCAATATCTAGCTAATAGCACGCGTGCGCATCTAGCTTACGTGAGCCAGCGGATCAACTATTCTCCAATGTTCCGCCAACAGTTAGATATGATGGATAGTGACAAAAGCTATGAAATATGACCGGTGCAATATATACATATTGGATGACTCTTTTGACGTTAGAGACATTCATACTCTGGATTTCACTCGGAAATACCACTATGAGGTAAGTTTGCTTACACAAACAGTCGACCCTCCTCAGTGAGTACCCACCAAAGGAAAATTAAGGATCGGTTGTCGCATTCGCTAGTCCTGAGGTAGGGTTATTTTGTCTCAAAACTCCTCAGCATGAATACTATTCTGCGGCAAATAAATTTGTTGACTTGTGTTGTGAGTTAGTTGTTCTTGTGGATAATGCAGGAACAAAGGGTACTATGACGCCAAATCCATTCGCCACTACAAAGATCCCGCAGTCCAATTTTCCAGTCTGGCTAGACATTGCTATAAATCACCAGCTGATATACCACCCGAACTTTCTGCCTAGTAACCTCCGCCGCATGTGACGATTCGTCACGATGCTAATGATGGTGGCCTGAGGCACGAAGACTCTAGTCTTCGCTAATTCCATCATGTTACTGTTGGAGTATAGAAAGAAATTTGGTAAAAGGAATGCCTGAGAACAGAGAAGTTTAGTTAACTTATTCAACTGAATTTACTACTGGTATTACGATTTATACAGTAGAATTGCATAGGAGAAAGTTTACTCGGAACCGAGCTGACTGCAGAGTTAATCGAGATCCCTGAGCAGAAAAGAATTATCCACCGACCCAGAATACTGAGCCATACAAGAGTACAGGTCCAAATAACCCAACGAGCCAAGCCAATCAGCCTTTAATCTACCTGCTCTTCTTGCTGAGAGCTGTATATTAGTGGGCACCTAAAGTAAATCACACTCTGCCCTTCTAGCCTCCTTCCAACCTTTTCCCGAAGGTCATATTGAAATGCCATACAAGTCTTGATGGAGTGTGGTTGCTCTATATTAGCCTAGCCCAACCTCTTTTGTGACGTCTTGGGTACTGGGGAGCGCCGTATTTTGTGTGGTAATTATCGCAATCACTACAAATCTATATCTCAGTTGACTGCCATCTGTTAGAAATTATCAAGGATTTCTAGGAGGAAATATCTCGAAGGACAAGTATACAATTTCGGACAAGAATTTATTGATAGTTGAATAGAATATCGAACTCTCTTCTGAATGTGAATTAATTATATATAATATTCCGCTTAACATATACAAATAAGTCTACCCTTTAATACAGATTCCCAAGGCTTTAGCGATCCCAAATCCAAGTGATCTAGTAACAACCAGCCGCTCAATTATGGCAAGGTGGAATTTCAGATACCACTGAATCTTATGTCGCCTAGCTGAGCTTAATCATATGCAATCGAATAAATTCAATTAATCTTGATGATCATACTTAGAGATCTAAACCTTGATACATACTAAGTCTAGATCTCCAACACCATCCCTCAAGGTGTAGAGGTCCATGAGAACTGCAGTCTCCCTCAAGTAAAGACCCGAGATCTGTATGTTTATTTATTTTTATTGTTTACTAGGCAAAAGCGATCGCTATTGCCCCATCCCAGGGGGGACATGGTGACTGCTACAAAAGATACTACATTTATTTACGGTTGAATGCCGAGAGGCCTAGAAAAATAATTTCCACCAAGATGTGGTGAGCGCTATGCAGCGTATTCCTTACCTTACTAGATCATACGTTACCGTTAGGGCAGATTTCAGATAAAAACTTAGCCTTCTCCAGTATCGAGGCGAATCGCTTAGCACCATGGTAGGTCCCGAGCCCGAGATCTGTATATTTATTTATTTTTAAGGTCTACCGGACTACAGTTATGACTGCAGCCCCATCCGTGAGGGGACATGGTGACTATTGTAATCCACAATTTCATATAATCTAAAGAGGGCCAGCAGGCCTGAATCAAACTTACGAAGCCTTTTATTATATTTTTTTGAAGTCCTAATCTATGCTCTATATCTCCTAGGAGTCGAGAACCGGTGCACACGGCCAAGATCATGCTTCCCACATACCCGAGTCAGTCTCACCGTGTGACTCACTACACAACAAGTAGCTAGTCATTAGAAAGTGTTAGAGTTAGACTCTAGTCCCATGGTGTCTAAACTGTGTTTATTAGACTGCAGGTTTCCGCCGCTGATCATACATCTACGGGAAAATTACACTTTAGGATATGTGCACGGAAATGAAGGCTGGAAAACTTAATACAGAACTGACGGACATGGTAGAACGTAGTTTTGGACTTGCGCATAATATGGGAGGCAGGTCACAACTCTGTATCGAACATATATCTCAGGGGATATAGGTGCTCTATATTTGACTTTGGGAATATCTATAAAAGAAGGCATTTACATGTACATACTAGAGTAGACTTCACGGGAGGGTATTTCCATAATAAATATATATATTAAAGATACTTGATAAAGACCTTTACATTATTTTACATCCAACTGCAATGGCAGCCACGTCATAATCGACAAACAGACCATATTCATTATATGTCTGAATATTTAGATAACTAAAGTCGAATAGAAAGAAAATGACTGCCCACACAAACTCCCATAACCAAAATTCCAAATCCCATACTCCTATTTGTGGTTGAAAAATGATACTTCTCGTCTCATTTTCCTACCTGTCATGATTCGTGGTATGATCTAGTTACTGCTTTCTACGCTGAGAGCTGGAGACGGAGTCGCAGGTGGGCCCCCGAAGCAGCCAGTTTCCTGCGCAAATTTTTTTGGAGTATTCGAGGCACTTAGGCCCAAGAAACTTGTGGAAAAAGTCGTGATGTGACATTGTCCCTTGAAGTCGACGCGTCTGGCGTACGTGCAGTCGACAGTGAATGAAGTGGATAGGTGATTTTTCCTCTCCACACGCACACTCCATTGAAGCAGCAAAGTTGTTGAAGCGGCGGTGACATGCCGCGAAGTTTCCGTGGCCCGTCCGGGCTGAGATCAGCCCACGGAGTAGCCGCCGGGAAAGTGTCTGCTCGCGTGGTTTGCGTCGTGGCATGAGAAGACACAGATTTCGATACCTAGGTGGACATCCTTCTTCCCACCAGTTGTCGAGAAACGCTTGACGTTTCCGGTTCATGAGCCGACTAACGTACGCCATTGTGACGGAGCCAGGCCGGCTGTCTTTGCTTGGCAGTTGTCGGAGGCGGGAGCGTGCAGCTATATCTGCATCTTCGTTTCTCTGTATCCTGGAGTGGGCTGGTATCCACTTCACCGAGACTAGAGCCTTTTTTGATAGCGCCTTAAATTGGCGTACGTCGGCGAGGCTTGTTGTGGCAATTCCCGTCAGCAGTGCCTTCACTGCAGACTGACTATCCATCAATACGTTGATCGGCTGCCTTCCGTTCCTTCCCCCGTTCTCCCTCTCCAATAATCTCAGAGTAGCTTCAAGGGCCTTCCTCGCCCCTAGAATTTCCGCATAAAGCACTTCACCACCATGCTTGATGCTTATGAAGCCATTGTGAGCGCTGTACGGCGAACCCCTCACATAAAATACGTCAAATAGCGCGGATTGGGCAGATTTCCGACAGGAATCTTGTCTTCTCCAATGTAAAAGGAAATCGTTAAGCACCACGGGAAGTGCCCCCGAGATCTGCATACTGTAAGCTAATTCCTCCTTTTGAGGTTCCGTGGAAAAGGTGGCTGAATTCCACGGGTAAACACTGAGCTGAATGGCTATTCATCAAGGGGAATATATCAATGATCTTTCAGGTAACAAAATATGATAGGAGCACTGTACTAGGTGTGGCCTGGGTTAGAGAGGAGCCCAATGTGCTAGATAGTCATAGACTCAAGTTGCACAATAAACACACACACACACACACATCCTCCTTTTGAGTGTATGTAGCATGGTGATTTGATATTTTTTTTTTAATTCATATTGTATTCAGCTATATATTGGTGATTTGATAGTGAGGGTGAGATGGTGAATGATTAGGTAAGCTCCAGTTAGCAATTGAGGTAACTTCTTGGTCGGTAGAAGAAGCAAGATAATATATTAGAAGATTGAGTGGGAGGAATTATGAGAATCTCAATACCTAAATTAAATAGAATCTTCAGGGATAGATAGGCTCGTGTTTTCTTTCGCATTCGATCTGGATATTATTCTTCTTGGATAATTCACAGATGTAAAGTAGACTCTGCATCGACATCGGCAGCACTAGAAGGAGAATATTGCATCTTTACCGGCAAATTAGAACAGTATGATGAAGGAGTATTTGAAAATTATATCTAGCTTTATGGCAGTAGATCATTACTACGCTGTCATGGAAACATAAATTTCATCTCAGTCTGGAGTTAGCAACCCGGCAACTCGGTCCTACGCGGGTAAAGTTATTAAGCCTAGTGGCCACACGGACGATAATTAACAATCATTCCGTTTCGTTCGCGTCTTTTCAGGCCTACAGTTTAACTAAAACAATCCACAATGCAGGCAAGGCTAGCCATTAATCCATTCCTCGAAGTGCTCACGCAATCAAAGAACAATCTATTGCATCTCAATGCATGTGCGCGTCGTCATGAATCTTCCTCTCGGCGTAATAGGTCTCGTCTAAACGTCAAACCTGAACCATCATTTCTTCTCCCCAAAGGATCTCCGCGAGAAAACCACATCATTTTTAATCCGCCTTCATCAGCTCCTTCTGTCTACGAGACTCCCAGAAAATTTTTACCGCCCGATGATATTCGAAAGAAGCTTATCCATTCTGCTGCTGGCCATTCCCATCATTCTTCTAAAGATATACCGCCGCTGATGAGACCCAAGGAATACAACCCACTACGAGGTCATCTCAAAGAGGCAGATATTGCTGAGATACAACGTCTAAACAATCTAGACCGGAATTTCTGGACGAATCGAAAATTGGCACGAAAGTTTCAGTGCTCTTCGGAATTTGTGAGCGTTTGTCTAAGGCATGCAGGAGGCGACCCAAGTGTGCGCAAGGCTGAAATGAAAGCCAAGTGGGAATATATTCAGTCACAATGGGGGCCACGAAGGAGAAAAGCTCACGAAGAGAGACAGAAGAGATGGCAGCTCGCTCTAAGGGATGAATGAATCAAGGCGACAAAAAATGATTTGCGTCGCGGATAATCTACTTTGAAAAATTTGTTGTAGGCCGACTGGTTAAGCTATGCTGGGAATCAAAAAAGAGATACTCAGAGACTACAAGATCAGTAGCAGCTCATATCACAGGCAGTCTCAGAATCTCATGTATTACAACACTTTCTCTTATCGAGTTGAGCATTTTGAGCACAGCTAACTCAACGCTCCCCTATTGCATCAATCCATCGCCTTCTCTGGAAGGTACGACTGCGCTGCACCTAGCGAAATGTAAGAGTAGGGGCATATAAATTAATGAGTAATATTTTACAAAAAATTGCTAGATATGACTTTACATCTTTACAAAGACTGTTCATGGTCATACTGGCGCCACACATGGGGACTATTTCAATGTTTATTGGCCTCTGAAAACTATAACGATCCCTTCATTCTAGTGGTCTGAGGCATTGTACATGTTTATTCTAGTCTAGAAATATGCCATTATACTTGAGACAAAACGCCGATAGCAGCTTACAATTTTGGTGCAAGATGCCTAAAATAGTCTTTTGTAACTGGCCTTTTAATCACGTTTCATGTGGTGCCTCACCACATCTCAGCCACGGTAGCATTTCGTTTTTTTCAAGGCTGCAGCTCCCCTACCACAAATTCTCATGAAATCTTAAGATTGTCAATAGGTTAGATTTTAATCATTCATTGAATCATAAAATGCTTGTACATGCACTTGCAGCCCCACCCTTCCTATACTTTCTTCTCGAACATAAATTGAGCTCCTGATTCCAGCACGTCATTGATCTCAGAGCAGCGAATTAGCTACTAGGCGTTGATTTTAGGGTTCACGGTATATAGACATTGTGTCATGCTTACCTGCTTACTCCAACGGCTAAATAGCTGTAACGAATAGAGCCTTCTACCTTGATCGCGGATTAGTTATGTCGATAAAAGAATTTTGCAAAGACCTGTCTTTTGAGAGTAGCAGCCACTTGTCCGGGTATCTTAGTCCTACTAAAAATTTGTTCAGACCAGCCAGACTATGGCGATCTCCGGATCCAACTGTCACGAAACAGGTCGTGATTTAGTCAATCAAACGAGGGAAAGTAGTCTATTCAGATTCTCTATGAAGAATGAGAGGTAAATACAGAGGGAAAACACGTTCTACACATATGCCAAGTGCGCGCTAATATGCGAGGGATCGACATCAGTTGTGGACCCGTAACACCAACTGCGCTGTGTGTGTTGTTGCTCTGTTAGGAATGTCGAAAGCCCAAAGCTTAGGACAACGGGCTGAGGTACGATGGACTATCGGAGGGATAGTTAGATGCAGATTTAATTGATTTGGATTTGACGCCGTCCTCGTACGCTGTCCAATCCTATTGAATAAACTGATGCTCAATATTTTAAATCATTCCGTTTTTATTTAGCTGTCTGACTATGAAATATGGTCTTCTATATATGTATATGTCGGATGACTCTTTTAAATTTAGCGAGCTTCATACTCTAGATTTTGATCGAAAATACTAGTGTATTGAAAAACCACCAGCTACTTAAGTCGTGGGAGATTTTGATACGAGGGAGCTAATACAATCATATTGGATAAAGGATATGAATTCGACTGCTCTTCAAAACACAGGTACCAGACTAGAAGACTAAGGCTGAACACTTGTCAGTGGTGTCCTCCACGTACCCGGGAGTGAAATATTCTCTCAAAGCCGTGTTCAGTCAAATTTGCAATACCAAAGAAGTTGGCCTACGAGGCAATGATTTAAGACTCCACACCAAATCAAATTTTCACCCCTAACGAGATCAGTCCCCTCCAAGATCTCATCAAGTCTACAGGTACGACTTAGCACATCTTCGTTTCAATTACCATACCTCTCGTCGACTTTCTCTAGCCTTAGCTGGCCGCCTAATACACATCCACGCGAAAATTTATACCCAACGAAAGAGACAAAGGATAGCTCTCAAATCTGGAAGACAGTCCTTTGCCTAGAGCATGAGAGAAATCAGGACAACTTTACAAGATGATGCAGAGGATGGATACCATCTTGACAGGTGTGAGATTTCAAATTTAGACAATGAGTTTTAAAAATTGAGCTTTGTACACGCCAATACTTCGATTGCAAGAGTGCAGCTGACACTATGATTGCAAGCCAACGATGGAAAGTGTCGTGGCCCGCCTCCCGGTGGTATCCTTCGGTATAGTTTGAGTAGTCTAGGCACCTAATTCATTTGGGAAGGAGACACTTAAGACCATATCTCGCGCCAAGATAATTAAATGGATGACGGAGGCATGTCTGGATAACTCAAGGGGGGATATTCTCAACACCTGTCAATGATGTCCCCTACGAACCCTCAGCTCTCCCTGTAGAGTCTACAGAGCCAAGATTGAGTAGTAACTTCATTCTCAATTCGATGAGGATTCCCCATCGCATTCGCCGTCTGTATCGTCTTCATCTCTCAACACATACCCTTAATCCCATTTTCATGAAGCTAACCACAATAAGATCAGATGTTGGGGTCGAAGCCCTTCTCATCACTAACCCTTGATCATGGAGGAAAAGCCATCCGACAAGTTTCCTGAGCGTACCCAGCACTCGATGCGGCGATGGTGGATTGGATCAAGTTGACCTCTGATGTTACGAAAAGGGAGATGTAGATTGAGAAACGCAACTCGTGCGGCTTCGGTATCTAGGCCTCGCCTGGCTAGGGCTGCAGGTTTTTTGAGAATCTTTCCCGCACTTGCAGTTTCCATTGCCACCAAAACTTCCGTGGAATAGGTGGATGAATTCCACGGGTAAATACTGAGGTAAATGGCTATTCATGACGGGCAATATATCAATGATCTTTGAAGTAAAAAAAGAGGATAGAAGCCCTAAGCAAAGTACGGATTGGGTCAGAGAGGAGCCTTATTGGCTAGATTGTCATAGAATCAAGTACCACAATAAGCACACATACTCTCTCTGTAAGGCTCACGCGATTTGAATTAGCCCGGACTGCGCACAATAATTACTGCCCGCTTTACTGGTCATGTATTTAAAGTGGACTTGGAGCACTAGTCAAGAACTTTGAAAACACCGAGAAAAAATATATCCCATGTTTTCGGATAGTTAGGCATCAAACCTGATCCCCTCGATGAAAGATCACCAACTTTCCAAAGTGGTTATTGTTGAAATTGGCGCTACTTGGCAATAAAGAGTCACATTAACATGGAACGTAATAAGCCTCGAGTATTACTTGCCACGATCATGACGACTCATACATTGACCAGCCTCCCAATTATTTAGCATAAACAAATGAATCGTGTCCTTCACTTGGATGTAGTAATATTGAACGGCACAGAGATACTTTCTAAATGTTTGAAATCGATTGAATTCTCTGTCCTCTTCAGATGTTATCTCACTAGCTTACATACATGCAAACCATTTATCATCTATCATATCATATCTGCTCGGCCTTTCAATCTTAATTGAGTTCAGCTGATTGAGTAAGAAACAGTTTCGGATATCAATCTCCTGTAAATTACAACCTCAAGAATCTCTAGCATGAAGCGCGCGTATAAATAAAATGAACGAACATGATTTGGTAAGCCTAATCAAAGCGCGCATGAAGGAAATGGGAATGATGTTAAATTAAATAACTGTTGGTCAAACATAATTATTCTTGTACCTGAATATATTGGAGTTATGGTTGTGACTATTGTTTACTTTGGAGCATAATGAGTAAGGCGTTTGGAGATATTATATACCCTGTATTAGTAGTTCCATATTAGCGTGTAGCGAGGGCTAGGTCGTAGCATTAGGAGAGAGTGCAGAGAAGCACTCGCAATACACGCTCTGTATTTTATGTTAACCCAATACTTTATCAAATCTACTTTCAGTAGTCCTATATCAGTTGTCTAAGAGAATCATATTCTAATAAATGACATATGCTGAATTTGCAAATTAATTCTCAATCAATACAAGTAAATTTAGCGCTAGCAAATCAGTGATAATCCAAGCGCGCGCAAAATACTGGTGATTCGACAAGTAATTAGTTTAAATAGCGCTCTGATACTAAGTGGGTTCAATCAACAACTCTCCACTATAGTTTTCAGACTCTTTAATCTCCCAAATCGCTTCACTGGGTGATATTAAACACAAGTCTAGCAGCTTAAGCTTCTCTATACAACTTTCACTACAACAGTTATTTCACCAAGCAGCCGCCCCCTTAGTTCCACTAGGTCGATGCCGGAGTTTCTAGCTGGCATACGAGACGCAGTAGTGCAACACCAGCGCTTACACGTTGAAAAACGGATACTCCACGGCGACATCTCTGATGTCCACATTGTTTTGACAAATAATACTGAAGATGATAAATCGCGAGGGATGCTGATCGACTTGGGACGTTCCGCCACTTTAGAACAGAATTTGGCTGCGGAAAATGATTGATTTCTACCTAGCACCACGAAGTCCATGGCACTTGAGAGACTATATGCTTTTAAAGAAGAAAAGAAACTTATACAATGCACTTACCGCCATGATCTAGAATTTTTTTTGAATGTGTTTCTCGTGGGATGCATAGAATATGTGTAGGGCCCTAAACCGCAGCTGATTAATCTTGATGATTGGTGCACGTAAAACATTGATAATAAGTTTGAAGTGAAACAGCGCCATATCAACCTTCAAAAACTTCTTCGGATACGCACGCCTAGCTTAGAGGGCTTCAAGGAATTATTGGCGAGTCTACACACGACATTGTTTGGCTCGATAAGAGTAGGTTTAGACGGTCCTCCAATCCCGTGGGGGATGGAGGCTGGTTGATGAATTTCCTCAACAATCTAGAATACCCCAGTCATGTCAGTATCGAGCAAAGAGACAGTGGAGAGGGCTTTTCCCTTGCCTTTAGTCGAGGCCTTGCCCATTTCCACGGATTTAGTGACTGGTCCCGGCCCGTTGTTTGATCGAGAGCCCTCGGGCGGACTCTCGTGTTGCCCATTCAGAATTTTGGTCGCTTTTTCTAACAGGAGGCATTGAGGAATACCTGGAGCTTGATCACAAATTTGAGATAAATGCGAAGAGATCTAGAGGAAGGCGAAAAAGGTAACATAGGGATTTTTGTTAAGATTATGAGCACATACGGGTTGAACCTCTACCTTGGAAGGATGCTATACATGTTCGTAGAACACCAATGTAGATATCGAAAAGATTTGTGTTAACTAAGGAACGCTTGTATTAAGATGGCTTTTACTTACTCCTGCTGAAGGGAGACAAATCTCATAATATACATGTCCTGGATAACCATATCACAGTTCCTTGACTATCCAGTATATTCCATTCCATTCTATTCCATACTATTTGATCCCCTACCATTCCATTACAAATCTATGATGCCCCAGTTATGGGTTGCCCTTAAGTCCATGTCCTTGGACTTGCATGAAATATTGGCATGCATAAATCTGCACGGATCTGGGATCTCTTGGCAGAGTGTAACAATTTTCGAATATCTAGAATTCTGCGTTTATTTGTTTATTTGCACACATAAGTGCTAGGCAATTGGTAACTTCCGGACTATTACGGGAGCTTTTCACGGATCCGTAATTAGAATTTTAATACTAATTTTAATTCGTGATGAGATGAAGGGGTAGTTAATTAAAGACATCAATTTAATGATAGCTTCCCCTATACAATTAGTCGTGTAAAAAGTCATGTAAGGATATGCAAGAGAGTCATGAAGAGAAGGACAAGAACACAGCCATTAATGCGAAGATATTGGCAAGAATTGATTACGATTAATTCCGGTTGGCAAAGGCTTCTACTCTTGTATATAATAGTTCGGCGTGAGAGAAATTTACTCCTCACGCAACGTCTTCTTTATTTACCCTTTACAATACATTTGTCCACCCATCTCTTCTTCGGGAAGACCATATATCCATTGCCCAGTTCTTCATCAGCAAGACCCACGTGTAACACCTACTGCTACTAGTTGCCCATTCATCTCTTCCTAGAGAAGACCTGTCATCCCTTTGACCCATTTATAATCTTCACTTACCACCTAGATCTTCACTAGGCTATACAACGCACCCCGTGGAACACTGTCAAACCCTCATCCCTGAGAGAGCTAAAGTACAAATGGGACCGGGCCGGATCAGGTTAACCACCATGAAGTGCGGATATACCTCGTCCCACCTAAGTGACTCAACCACCTCAGATTTCATCTATGTGTTGAGTCATACTATACCTGATCATCAAGAAACCCGCCGTATGTAGGTCGTGGCGTGAGTTTCTCCTCAGCCTCGGTAACCAACCGCCCAAGCACCTGCTATCTTCCTTGACTCCGAAGTATGAATGTCGTCCCAAATCTCATTGTTGCCGTATCATTGCACCTCCTCGTCGTACTGTCGGGTTGTTATCTTCGTGGGGAATCTGCGTAATCTCCTATGTATATTCCCTCTTTTCATCCTTCATGTACGTCCAGTTTCCAGCGTGGATTTCTTCAGTATGGTGTGCGTTGGTGGGCGTTGCGATGAGTGTGGAGGTGGGTCACATGTATGGGATCGACTGAGAGATGCTTCGTCATAAATATTTAAGAGTTGGAGGTGCGTGGATTGTTTGTATACGACCCCCACATAGACCTAGGTCTATTCGTGAATAGTACGTTGGGAGTTATGGGGTTTTGTTCGACTTTCTTGCGCTTGTGATATCTTTGACGACTAAGATTCCGAACAAAATACCTAGTACAACTTCTTCAAGCCGACAATCCATCAAATGTACCTCATTCCACCCTTATTCCTGACTGAACCTAGGGTCTGGGATAATACTTCACTCCTAGGTTCGTAAGGGACACCGCTGATCAGGTTCAGCTTTCATTCCACACTGATGTTATTGTATCGATGAAGTCTTGAGCCAAAAATTCGAAGTTCAACATAGGTAAAGGACATGTTGAGCCGTCGAGGATCACTACTTTTTTGCCTAACTTATTCCAAACGCATGGACTCCCACAGAAAGTGTTATGGCCTGAATGTTCTGGCCTGAGGCAGAGTTTCCAAACGGGATATCAAGCCAGCCAATATTAACTAAAGAGATAAATCACAAGGTCATCAACAAGACCGACGTTCGGAAATAGCAATCCTGTGCTTAATGAAATTATCCCGCATAAATTAGTGAAATAGGCTTTCGGGGATGATTAGTATTTAGGATACAGGGAGAATCCACATATTATTTCCCAGATTAAATATCTGAGGAGATTGGCAATTCAACTCAGATACTCTCATACAATGGATGGTTCAAGGATGAGCCGGAGATTGTATTAATGAATTTGGTTGATTGTAAGAAGCGGAAGAAATGGCTTACCCAGATTTTCAACTTCGCAATTTGGATTTTTCTCTTCTTTTGATCATAATCAACTTTAGTATCTTGCTACCACAATTATCTCTTTGTAATCTTTGAATTCTTAATTCTAAACCTCCATTGTGAACCTCAATAATCACCTCATATACTTCGGAGACGGCAGATCCTACCCCATTTGGATCGCGCCGTGACAGAGGGCGTAGCATTCAAGAAACAAAGCTAGAACAAAAAACTGAAATCAGGAGTAGAAGAAAATTAATAATGGTCTAGATTCCGCCCATTCTCGCCTGTTTAATTTGCCATCACATCTGCTTATGACCGATTTGTTCGTTTGTTGTATAATAGCGTGCCAGCCCGCAACACAACCGCAAGGTCTCGCGTTAACCAGCTCAGTCTGAAGTAAACATCCGACGTGCCAATATTTTTAGTTACGCCCGACGTGCAATACATAGACCATTGCCATCATAACATGTATTTTTATCTGTTAAACGACACCGATAGTGCTTTCCTATTGAGAAACATGTTTTTTTGAATCAAACACAAGATGTTCATATATTTTATGAGGAATATTACCCAACACTCAGTCAAATATTCTATCAACTTAAGCTCCAGCGGGCATCAGTCGTAATGAGCGATCTGGTGAGTTTGAGAGGTTGAAACCAAGTGGTAAGAATTAAGTGGAAGTAGACACAAGTCTTCTAAGTAAAGATCGCAATACAGTAGGGTTTGTGATAAGCGAAACACCACTCTGATGAAATGTTTAATATAATAATGCCCGTATACTCCACATAATTTTCACAAGAAGCTGTTCCTTCTCTTAGAACTAGTTTTGCATATCGTAATGTTATAGAACGGCATCACTGTGGGAGTTTGAAACCTTATCAATGGTTTAGTAGAAACTGGGGATGAGAGAGACGACGCTAGATTCTGTCAGAGGGAATCTGTGAGCTACTTTTTTGCGCTATTTTAGCACAAACTTTACTTCGCGGTAGAAACAATAATATAATTACAGAAAATATCATTTATTAGAGTTTTAAACTCTATTGGTTCATACATGATTTCTATGGCTTGACGGCGTGTATTGCAGAAGCGAGTCTCTTCACGTTTGCAGATGTAATACCAGCGACCGATATCCGACTGTCTCGCGTAGCGTAGACTGAGAACTACGTGGTACGTTAATTTTTATCGTGATTCGTTGTGGAAGTATTACGTACATCATTTTGCAATTTCTCCATTTGCACAGGTGTCAGACCAGTATAAGCAAACATACCAATTTGGTTGGTGATGTGGCACCAGTCGTGACTGCTACCCAACTTCTCGAGTTCCTCTCTTAAAAGAGCACGCATCTTGATAATACGACTAGCCATTTCTTGAACTTCAGTAAGCCATTGGCTCTTCAGAGTTTCGTTATTCAGGATATTAGAAGCTATACGTGCGCCGTGAATGGGAGGATTGGAGTAGAGCGGGCGTATCAAAATCTTGACCTGCGAGTCAACACGTCTTCTCTCCTCTATATTTTCACAAACGATAGAGAAGGCACCGACTCGTTCACCATACAGACCCATGTTCTTGGCAAATGATTGAGCAAGACAGAAGTTGTGCCCATCAGAAACAAAGTGACGAATTGGGAACGCATCTTTATCAGTGTCTCCACTTGCAAACCCTTGGTAAGCCATATCAAAAAAGATGTAGTGACCACGCGCCTTCATTTCTTTACTGATTTCTTTCCATTGCTCACTACTTGGGTCCACTCCAGTTGGGTTGTGAGCACATGCATGAAGGAGAAATATGCTACCAATTGGTGCATTCTTTATATCCATAATCATACCATCGAAATCAAGACCATAAGTGTTCGGGTTGTAATATTTATATCCTTCTACGATCAGGCCTGAGTCCTTAAATATGTTGGCATGGTTGGCCCACGTTGGGTTTGGAATGTATATCTTTTTGCTTCCTTTATAGAAACGTGAGAGAAATTCCCCACCAATTCTGAGGGCTCCCGTTCCCGAGATCGTCTGTGATGTCACTGTACGCTCTGGAACATTAGAATTTGCACCAAAAGCTAAAGTAGCTGATGCTTTGGTAAAATCGGGTAGCCCTGTGATTCCTGAGTATTCTTTATTGAGGCCAGAGGACACAATGAGATTTTCTGCTGCTCGTACGGAATTAAGTACGAATGGCTTTCCATGATCATCACGGTACGCGCCGACACCTAGGCACCATATTAGGAGAATTGTATTGCAATCTAATAGAGCTCAGAATACCGAGGTTTATTTTCTCTTTTGAATTGTCCGATCTAAATGCTTCGGTGATGCCTTTGACGCTGTTAATTAGTGAACAAATCGCTTCAGAGGATTAGGTACCCAGAATAGCCTTTCACAATGTGTGAATAATTAGAAAGCATACGAGAGTTTTTGGTTATACTTACATCCTAAGGAGTTGTTAGTAGAGCCTTTAGGATCATTTTTCTTTCATATACAGCTTTGACTTACAGCAGGTCCTTGCGGGACATTAGCCCATGTTGATGCCCGGCGAGCAAGGTGGGGGATATTTAAAGACGCTCCAATGGAGGCTTTCTGCCCATATAACCTAGTAGCTAACAGCATGATGAAATAAATCTTATGTGATGGCAGGGAGTATCTATGGACAAATGATACCCACCACTAATATGATTTAGGCAGGTCATTGCGTAGCCCTAGGCGAAACGTTTTTCCACTTCCCAAATTACACAAATATTTAGACAGTGAGATGCGGTGGTTATTTACGACAATGAATCTAATTCACAGCATAATTTTATTAATGGTGGGAGCTAAACCGTTCCTGTGCCTTTAGTTCTCGAGCGCCATTATATCAGACTAGCACTGTGATTTAGGGTACGGTTTCACGACGATGAATTGAGTACACGTTAAACAGACTTCCCATGATTTTCGTCAACTGATAAATCAGTGACTCCTTAATAACAGCCCACTGGACCTTCGTATACCTAAAGATAAACTCTTACATGAAAATGACCCAGCAAATACCAAGTAACATGTCAGATTTTTATCCGGGAGTCGGCCAACAGCCCAGCCGTGCAGCAACAGAGCCTCTCGATACATGGAAAGCAGGAATCTTGAAGATTGCCTCTAACGAGAGGTTAGGGCCGACTTTTTCCAACGATGATACGAAAATTCTTATGAAGGAAATTGAGGAAGTCTTCTACTTAGGAACAGGAGAGATGAAGACCGCAGACCCGAGTGAAGGAATAGGTGAAGAATCGGGGGCTGAAGACCAAAACAGAAAGGTTGAGAAATTGGAAAATATCCTTCGTGCCTTGGCTCAACTATGGTGGATTGATTCCACTCAATTCGATATTGCAACAGAGATACTAGCAGACGGAAGCCGAGACTGTAAGATCAATCTTATTTGCCCATCACCAAATGTCCAATCAGCTTTCTTGTCAGCTAAAGTCATCTGAAATCCAATAATTTTAAATTTCAGATTAATTCTAAGGGTCAGACTAATACTGGTGAAGATAAGTGGCGAGCTCCACTAGGGAAGTCAGGTGTCGTAAATTTCTACCTCGAAATTCTCAGTTGTCACGAACTACGACATCCACTCAAGAAGCATGTCCTGCGCCTTTTAGGGAACTCTTGTGCTGATCTAGGTCTTGTTTTCTTCTCATACCTAAATAAAGCTGACCTAAATAGATGAAAACCGAGAGCTTATAGCATCATCTGTCAATTATTTACCTTCAATTATTCTACAACTTAAAGATTCCACCGTCCTCCCCTATACGCTGCCGGTATTGTTTAACATATGTGTTGATTATGGTATGCAGAGCTACGGGGCTCGATCAGATCAGTTCTAATGTTGTCAGAGCCAATGCAACAACTAGCCTCTAAATCTTTCCTTACAAGAGAATTGATTAAATTAATATCTACCCCAACCCACGACAGATCATTTCCACTGGTAGAATATACAGGAAGAATCTTGGCTTTACTAGCCTCACAACGTGCGGTATTAAAATTGCTTATATGTCAAACTAGCTAATCAAGTATAGCTTCGGAGGTCGAGCACGCTCCAGATGATACAGCTATTGTTCTCGTTAATATCGCTTCCAATCATGACACATCAATTGATTTAGAAACTTACATTTCTCTCGTTAACACAGCACTCTCGTACCTTCAACACAAAAAGTTTCAAAAAGCACTATTACTCCAAGAAGGGGCCCTCAATACTATAATCACAATCTTGGTTGACTCTTACTCACGATTTGAAATCCAAACAGCAGAATCGACATTAAACGAAAACGATGACGTCAAGGCCCTCACATCTATGATAACTGCTCTGAACCAGGTACTATCAGATATTTCTGCTCTTCACGAATTCCAAGACATCTATCCGGTTTCTTCAAAATTATGTAGGACTCTTCAAAGTTGGCTCCTACCTTCAACAAAACAAGTTCACCTAAAAGTCTGTGCATGTATTATGTTGGGTAATCTCGCTAGATTAGATGCCACCTGTATAGAATGTGTTCAAGCTGTTCAGATACACAAACCTCTAATTGATATCGTCTTTCATGCAAAATCAACCCAGCTCCTCCATGCTGCCCTAGGTTTCCTTAAAAACCTTGCGATCCCGACTCAAAATAAAAATACACTTGGAGAGGCTGATATATTTGAAGCTCTTTCCAGAATCTGGTTTATGGACACGATTCCACAGGTTCAATTTGTTTCCATTAGTCTTGGACGCCTATTAACTGCAGGCTCATTAGAAAATGTACGGCGAATTACCCAGGATTGCTCAGACAAGGAGAGTGGCATACTATTATCTCCTCTCGTTAATTTATTCGAAAAAACTGAAGAAGAACCAATAAAGATGGAGATTGCACGTTTATCTACCTCAATATGCCGAGTTCTCTATTTAAATTCCGTGCAATTTAGGGGTCAGATCGAGCCAATTCGTATTAAATTCCTCCATAAGAATCCAAAGATTGGACTTCAACTTGGATTTGTAGTTTCACAGACAAAGTGGCCCGCTGTTCGAAGTGAAGGATGGTTCGTCTTTGCCTTGATGGCACGATCTCCCGAGGGCGCAGAAATTGTTTCTCAAGTCGTTAGCGATCCCTCTGTTTTCCAACCACTTGTAGAATTGCTTACAGGAGATCCGATCACCGGTATTATTCCTACATCACCTACAGCTAAGATTCTCAATTCAGAACTGGTCGATTGTCAAGAGCTTGTCCCAAAGCCTGTGAGGCCACAAGACCAAGCGGATGAATTATCACGAGCAGACCGCGAGAATGCTCTAGTACTAATTGGTGAAATGCTCAAAAATTATGGCAGTCATATGGCAGTGCCGTGCAAGACAACTTTTAAGGATCTTTTAAATAGTGGTGGAGATTATCTTCTTAGTCATCAGCACGGTAGGACTGAAACGAGATCCGCATAAACATGTTTTATGTTCAATCTTACCCAATATATCAAATATCATCTGCGGTTAGGAAGAAATTTAAATGATTTTTATGCTTGCAGCAAATAATTAGGGAGTTTAGCGAAATGGAGTGGGGGCGTCGCTTGGGAACCTTCAAATACATGCGTTCTTTCATATCTATAGTTGCCGTAGAAAATAAATAGGTTGAGCCATGTAAGAAGGGATTTTTAGTTCATGCTTCAGTGTATTTAATAAATACAACGATTCGGGTGCACTTAATTGTAATCCTGTCCAAACTTAACCAATCAATTGCCAATAGAACCTCGAACATTTTATTTTCAATTTGAAACTAGTAGATACTTGAAGCTCTTTCTTTGTGGAACAATTTCATGTATTGATTATGGCAGCCTCTATAGTTTGCGATCGAAAAGACATTAAGAGGGATGGTGACCGAATACTGCCTATTTTCAAGGTTTATGTTGGAATTTCCTATTGAGGAAGGGCTACTTAAGGTGAACCAACTCTCAATATGCTGATCGCATTGGCCGGTAAAGACGAATTCTTCACCGTCCAGCGGTGCCGGTGTAATCGCTCAGTATGATCTGCATATCTGGGATAGCCAAGAAGAATTGCATCCAAATCGAAGTCAAAAGCACTCAACATCTAAAATCGACGACTTCTCGTCAATGTCGGACCCATCATTCTCACGCGATTCCTCTACCTCAATAATACCACACCACCTCGCCACAAATACCGATAATGGCGTTACTCCAATTGCAATCGGACATTTGCCTCATCGAAAACCGGGAGTCTCCCACTACACATTCACGATGCTATGTGTACCCGCGAGAAGGAATTTAAGTCACAATCTACAAAGCTCGAGTCTTGGTCCATAAGGGACCGTTGCTCTAATGGAGCTTCATATCTTGAGGGAGGACAGGTAGCTGTGACGTGGGACGAACAAGTGAAGAGGTCACAAATGGGCATGCTGGGACGCACGTTTTTCGATTATTTTCGACTTAAGGGTGTCTATGGGCGCAGAGGCAACGATTTAAGATAATGCTACCGACACTCTAAAACCAGGCAACGATGAAAGGTGTTTTGGTCCGCCTCCTGGTCATCATCTCCCCGAATTAAAGTCTGGATAACCTGGATAACTACCTCACTCGAGTAAGGGAAGACTGTGAGGCCATATCTCGCGCAGCAGCTATGTACAAGATTTCAAATACATGTTAGGGTAGCCAAAGGTTTTTCCTATTTTCCCTTGGGTGGATATTAACGGTTGAGGGAAGGGTGAAAGTTCCTAGCACCAAGGTCTCTGTGGCTTCAGCGAATGCACCCACTACATGAGTAGTCCAAATGTCAAACTGAGTTATCGTCGTATATAGTCGTCGGAAAAGCTAGTCTTCTCCGTGTCATACTCTTTGAGTGCAGGGCTTGTGCCCGTCACGAATAAAGTTTCATTCATTCATTCGTGCTGATCGCATTGTCTACTATGTCACACCATATTCTTGATAATATGGGTAGCCTCATCGTGGCTTATTTGCGACGTGTTGAGACGTTTTGAGTCCTGTTTCCACATGAGACTTACTTTTAAGAACTCCTATTTGATTTTCTGCTGCAAACTTGTATAATATAGCCAAGTTAGATATCTCACCAGATAAAAAGGCAAATGACTTAATAATGATTCGTTTCCGTGCGAGTTAGTGTTGGAAATGGAGACACGGAGTGTTGTGAACGTATGGGCCCTCCATTTCGTCTAGGTTCCCGACACGATCTCGTGTGTATTTAAGAGGTTGGAGTAGGTAATATGGTAGCGCTTCAGGCTACCTATTGGACATATGAGCGGCTGTATGGCGTGGGCGCAAGGAGGTTATTGGGGGTTTTCTATGCCTAGATGGCACCACACTCGTTTATGCTGTGGCTTAGACTCTGTGTCGTTTACACTTGTACTTGTAGCGCACACTTCCCACACTTTTAGCTGTAATCCGAACATGACACTCTTTTAGTCAACTTCTACTTTTGTTCCATGAATATTGCGCCCATTACATTGCGCAATATTTCCAACAGTATGCCACTGAAGTAAACGCAGCAATTGTATCAGCGCACTTTCATGAGAGTGATCAATTTAAACAGTCCCGCCAGAAAGAAATTGCTGGGCTATTAGAGAAGAACGTCTTCGAGTTGGTTGAAAACATCAACATACCCGCTGGCACTAGGGTTTTCAATTCAAGATTTGTTGACAAAGTAAAGCACAAGGGTACCAATAATGCCTACGAGAAATCAAGGCTTGTTGTCCAGGCATATAATGACACTGAAAAAGAATCTATCCTAACTCAATCTCCGACAATTCAAAGGGTTAGCCAAAGGCTTATTCTCTGCATGACGTCTTCAATTGCGGAAACAAACCTCTATTTACGTGATATACTGCAAGCATACGTACAGTCCACCTCCAATTTGAATCGCGATATATATATACGCCCTCCGCACAAGTTGAGTGCCGAACTAGGTCTAGAAAGAGGCACGTTGTTGAAAGTTGTTATGCCTCTATACGGAATACCAGAAGCAGGAAATCACTGGTTCCGTACATATCACAATCACCAACCCAAGACCTTTGCATGAATGCATCAACTTTCGACCCATGTCTCCTCTGGGGCTATAATCCGGACCAGCTAGGTATTGTCGGTCTTCAAACTGATGATACTCTCTTTCTGGCCAATGACTCATTTGCTACTGCGGAGCAAGACAATCTTAAAAAGGCGAATTTCCCAGCAAAAGAACGAGAAACTCTTGCACAAAACCATCCCCTGAGATTTAACAGTTGTATGATTAATAAGCTGAATGACGGGAAAACTGTAAGATTAACTCAAGAACGTCAATGCAAAAATCTCAGTTTAGTAGCTGAGTTAAATACATCATCTACAAGTTCTTGCAGTACTGGCCATAGAGGTCTTACTACCAAAGAACAATATGTTGCGCAACAGGCCAGAGGAGCTTATATTGCTTCTATGTTTCATCCTGAAGCCTCTTTCGGTCTCTCCTTTGCTACCCAAGTAACCAATCCCCAATAGAACGACATAGATGCCCTCAATAAACGCCTACAGTGGCAGAAAACTAATGGACAAAGGGGACTCAATTTTGTGAAACTAGATATGAAAACACTACGCCTCTACGCGTTTACCAATGCATCCCTTGCAAATAATTAGGATTTTTCATCACAAATTGGCTATGTACTCGTACGGGTAGACGCTAAAAATCAAGCTAATATAATCCATTGGTCATTGTTCAAATGCAAGAGAGTTATAAGAAGTGTTCTCGCATCAGAGTTATATGCCATGGTTCATGGTTTTGATATTGGCGCCGCAGTAAAGTCAACTATTGAACAGCTATCACGGACTATTATACCTTTAATTGTATGCACCGATTCCAAATCTCTTTACAATTGCCTTGTCAAACTCGGTACAACACAAGAAAATTGATTGATGGTCGACCTCGTCTGTCTACGTCAATCATATGAAAGATGCTGTTATGGCTCAGTATGACTGCTACTCAGTATAATGACTTGTAGTTGTGGCTAAACCACTATGCCATAAACACTGGCCCGAACTGTGGAGGCCTTATCATATCAGGCGCCGACATTTGTTGAGTCACGCTAGGCTTTACAGTTGTACTTAGTTAGGTGTAAGATGTAGCTTTAGTTCTGTAGTTTTGCAATCTGTATTATTAGTCCACAAGCTATTTTTGTCCCCGTCCGTTCTGATATACTCTCGTGCAACATCAGCCAGTTCCCTATCTCGAAGACGGCTATCTCTTCACAAACCAGCTGTAACAGACGCGAAATTACCGAGGTTGTATGGATAGACAGCAATAGTAATCCAGCAGACTCAATGACAAAAAGCAAACCTTCAACAGCTCTCCAACTTTTAATTGATACCAATAGACTTAATCTAAATACCATGAAATGGGTACAACAAACCAGTAACAAGTAACAAATAACAATAATTGAGATGTGAAAATATATGATGGGAATTACAGTTATAAGTACGAATTTTTGTATCATTTTCTTTGTGTAGTTGCCAGTGTTGGTATAAATGTCCTGACCTCACTTTCCAATTTTAGTCATATATTAGTCATCATTAATTATGAGTATTAGCATCTTTTTGTAGAATAGGAGAATTGACAAGAGCCACCAATATAGTTGCAGAAACATAACATATAGTTTTCGTTCTTTGCACCATGTTTAAGTATCCCAACAATAACCACTCGGCCAAAAGGCCAGACCAGAATCATAGAACACTAGCTTCTGGTTATCTCCACATATATAGATTACACAGTAGGCATTCCTGACAGGCTCTGACAATCATATCACAACAATTTTCAAAGAATTCAAAAGTGAAGTAGTCTAGATCAAAGACAAAGGGTGAGATCGGAGTTTGGGGGATGTAATGTTTATAGATAGAGATAAGACATAGCTTGAGGGACAAGCACAAGAACTTCTTTTCTCAAACATCCTGACTGAGTCTATTTGATTGACAGAATCTCAATTCACCTCCAGGCTCACAAACTAATAGAACTGGTGAGGTCAAGGATGAAGACAAAGGGCAAATGAATTTCCTTTTTAGTTTTTCCTCAAGGTAGTGTAATGGCTGGTGAACCGACGGTAAGCCCTGTAGCCTGAATTGGCCAACGCAGGCACCCTTTCCACTCGCTGGGACGTCAGGTAATGGAAAACTCACTCTACTGCTTGGACTGCTAGCAAACACTCGGACAGTCAAGGGGGGGGATTGCCTCGAGTACAGGGAGTGACATAATTAGAGGACTGTGTGGTGGACTGTGTGCCGGAACGTCTATTGAGAAAGTTAACAGCACTCGGATGGGCTCAGAGAGAATTGTTTCGGGCATGGCAAAACTGATTGAAAGGTAGCCGAGTGGTAGGGCGAGAATCGGGAGTTAATGCCAATGCAGAAACCTAAACTCCCCATAGGTACATCTGTCCGCTCTTAGGAATAGATGCGGGC